GTTTTTTGATATGTAGAGGAACCAGCTTTGTTGTCAGCATTCGTTTCACCATTAACCTATTTGGTTCCCCCTGTCTGTTGTACATCATGCTCTGCTTCCAGAGAATTGGTTCTTGTACTATCTCTCCTGACTCAACAATGTTCTCCCAAGTACCTTGATCTAATCCATCATCATAGGATTGTGTGAATCCAAATTCATCATTATCATGTAAGCTTTTCTCAACCAACTAATCAATTGCATCAACAATCACATGCACATTGTTTTCAATACAGAAGGTTATTTTGTTATATACTTTATAAGCCTTACTATATGAAGAGTATCCAAGGAATATGCTTCATCACTTTTTGCATCAAACATTTTTAGAGAATTGTTTACATTATTATATACAAAATACTTACTTCCTAATACTCTTAGGTGAGTTATATTGAGTTTACTGCTCTTAGGTAACTCATAGGGGGTCTTCTCAAATAAAGGTCTAATCATGAATCTATTGATTATATAGCAAGTAGTGTTTACAACCTCATCCCAAAACATTTTATGAAGGCTACTAGTAATTACCATGATTTTTGTCATATTCTCTAAGGTCCTATTTTTTCTTTCAACAACACCATTTTGCTGAGGGGTTCTAGGTGTAGAGAATCTATGATCAATGATATGACTCATATAATATTTAAGAAATTTAGCATTTTTAAATTCAGTACCATGATATGATCTAATGCTAGCTAACTAACTATCCAATTTTCTTCGCGGTTTCTTCACAAATACAATAAATAAATCATATGTGCCATCTTTAGAATCAAGAAACAAGGTCCATGTAAACCTAGAATATCCATTAATAATCACAAATACATACATCGTTTCACCTCTACTTTGAATCCTCATGGGACCACATAAATATGTGAGCAGTAGTTTCAAGGGACGCGAGGTACTTACAACTTTTTTTGATTTGAAAGAGGACTTGACATGTTTAACTTTTTGCACAAACTTCATATACTTTGTCTTCCTTGAACCTAGACTTCGAGCCTATTATCTCACAATAATGAACCATTATCAAGCACACTAAGATATGTTAGTTCATTTTCAGGAGAAGAGATAATATCATCTTTGTAAAATTTTTGTGCCTTTTTCCTTTAAGAACCAGGTTTCTAGAATTAAGACTAGTAATAATGCACACAGTAGAGGTAAATAGAATATGGTTCCCTCTATTACACATTTGAGATATACTCAGCAAGTTGTGTTTTAGACAATTAACATAATATATATTTTCTATTGCATGGAAGTAGGACTTACCACCTTTATCTATACCAATAATATCTCCTTTATTACCATCATCAAAACCCATACTCCATCCTTGTAAAGCTTTTAGTGTGAGAAATATTTTTTCTGTTATGTGTCGAGAGCAGGAACTCTCAACGTATCACATGTTCTTGCTTCCCCTGACCTTAGCTTGCAAAATAATTCAGAGGTTAGATTTGGATATCCATGCTAGCTTGCGTCATCCATTATAGCTTGAGTCCCTTTATTTTAGTAAAATGATTAAACAAATTATTTTTAGCTCATCCTAGAAGTCATGCATTTTTTAATGAAGAACCAGGTTTCACAATTATTTTCCTCTCAACATATTCAATATTTTTTTGAATTTCTTTGAACTTAGTCGTGCATGCATATTTAAAGTGCATTATCACTGTAGTGTGTGCACAAACAATTTTCACGAAGCGAGACATAATTACTTTGAGGTTATACGGGGTCTTGACCTTTTGTGTCCTCGTCCTATTCTATTTCTACTGTAGTTTGCCTGCAAGGTAGTTGGTATCATTGAAGAAATAGTCCATCCCAGAGTTCATTCTAATTCATACTTATTCTTTTCAGATTCTCTTGAATCCTCCTAATTTTTCTCACTCAGCAGCGAGATCATTATTAACCTTTTTCAGTTTACTATTTAGGTTTTCCTGAATCTCACTAGCATGACTCTTTCCCTTAGCAGGTGTATAAGAAGCTTTTTGTTTTCAATCTCTAAAATAAACTTTTCATTACTTAGAGTGAGAACCTGGTCCTTTAGATCTTTAATGGTGATCTGTAAGTTCTCCTTATTTAGTTCTAAAGTCTTTGTTTTTTAAATTTAAGAAACGCATATTCATTTATGAGTTTTTTCTTTTTCACCACATAGACTATGACATGCACCAATTAAGAGTTGAAACAATGAAGCCAATTTCTTTTTAGGGTAAATTTGAATATGTTTTTCATGAAAATTTATCTTAGTTTGGTCATCTTCCACATCAGAATCAGAATTGGACATTAATACAAGAACGCCTTTATTGTCTGAGTCAAATTCATCCTTGGCCATCGAGGATTGATCTTTGAAAAATCACCAGATCATCACCAGAGGTATTTTCCATAGCAGCTAGAGCCCTTTTTATAATCTTGTTAGCACTCTTCTTTGGCATCTTTCTCCTAGGAACTCGGTATTTCTTCTGATCTTTCACTTTATTAGAATTATTTTTTTCCACCCAGTCTCCGATATTAGGCTATTCCTGATAAAGTTATCGCGACTGTCACATTTGTAGCACCCATCAGTATTTCTCTTCTTTGGAGCCTTAGATTTAGAGGTACTACCCTTTCTTCATAAGACTATTCTTCCGTATAATGCATTGGAATCCACGTTTCAATAATGTTATATTATTATCGTCAGTTTCAAGATTTTTAGTGTCCTTGACAATCGGGTTCTTATCCTTACGAGGATCTGGTATCTAACGATTTTGTTACTTTAGCTCATAAGTCTTCATGTTTTTGATGATATCGTCAATGGTCATTATTTCAATATCTCTAGCTTATGTTATTGCATTAAACTGGCTTTCCCACGAAGTGGCAATATACTTAGAATATTTCTTAAAGTCGTATTTATGTGGATGATTTATCCAAGTGTGATTAACTCGTTGGTAATTATTGTAAACCTAGTATGCATCTATTGGATATCTTCCCCATCTCCATCTTGAAAAGTTCATACTGCCTTGTGAGCATGTCAATATTAGATTGTTTGACCCAATTTATTCCTTCATGAGCGATCTGCAAGGCATCCAAAATTTTCTTAACATTGGTGCACGCAGAGATTCGATTATACTCGCCAGGTCTAACAACACAAATTAATACCTTTTTAACCTTAGCATTCTTCTTCATAGGCTTAACATCTTTATCATTATACTGCTTCTGGGTTTTGGGGCCAGTTACTATACTCTTATCATCTTTTTTCATGGGAATATTAAGACTTTTCTGAATAATGTCCCAGAGATCTAAATCTTCGCTTTCCATAAAATTTTGCATCCTTGCTTTTTAACATCCATATGACTTTCTATTAAATAGTGGGTAGCCTTATAGTTGATTGTCTTTCTTGAATGCCAGGAGATGTAGCCATCTCGAATCCTTTCAAGGTGTTAGCCTTACTTTGAACGATATTTCTATGATACCAATTGTTATTTTAGAACGTACCTACACACGCNTTATTTGACACAAGGGCTGAAAGTGAAATGCGAAATTTAAATTACACAAGCAATTTTACGTGGAAAACCTCCTTGCTCAAGGGAGGAAAAAACATGACCTACCCTTGTAGGATTTACCTCAAAACTTCACTAACTTTAAAGAGAAGTTAGATTACAACTCAATAATCAAAGGGGCTAACTCTAGTACCTTAACCCCTACAATCAACCCAATTGTAGCTACCCTTGTTATGACTATAAAGTCTAGTCTAGAAAGCAAAATAAACTCTTCAGAACTTGATAAACTATGTTTACGCTTCTCAATAAGCAAAATAGGTTACAATTAGAGGACAATGACTCAACCTAAACACTAAAAAACTTAATCAACTTCGTCGTCAGGATCAAGTTCTTTAGATCCTCTGGTTGAATTTTTGAAAGCACATTCTTGCTATGATTGCCATTTAGTTTGGAGAATTCTTTGAAACTGTGTGAATAACGATAGAAGTGTTAACCTCAAATAGAAGCAACGTGATACTTTACATAGAAGTGAGGTTGGCCGACCAACTTTAGCTCTAAAACCTAAAATAATTCGGTTACCTCCTAAAGAAAAGAAATCCTAAATGATTCTATTTATCTCCTTAAAAGACTCATTCACATGCTTTTCCATTTCATGTAATTATTTTCATAATTAATGAATCCCGTTGGACCACGAATTTCCCCAATTATTAGCATATTGAAGAAATTCGACTGTCAGTACAAATTGTTTTGTCCAGCTCAACCCAACTTGCACTACAAAATAGTTTTCAGCTTCTGATCAGTAGATTTCAAGGGATGTGATTCTTTTGCAAATGTTTGTTAACCATCAAAAGCATTATAACCTCCGCTCGAAAAGTTTTATGAGAGAAATTCTAGAGTTGAGTCGTGGTTATTACTTTTTAAATAAGGAAGCTTTTCGCGTAAAAGTTCATTGTCTTATTTATTTTTCGCACAGAACCAAAGTTCAGACTCTTATTGAAGCAAGTGAACTATAGATGTTTTGGTAGGCAAATTCCTGAAGATGTGAGGGTCCCAGCGACAATACGATATCCTTTTTTAAGTCTATTTATATATTAAAAATGGTCAACAATTCATTCCGTTTAGGGCAAGACCCCATCAAAAAATATTGTGATAAGACATTAAATGGACATCATAAGGTGTTTATAACGCGTCTAGTTCTAGCTTTCCATTGGCTAAAATTTCATATGACGACTTAGACTAAAAATTTCAAGCTGCGATGTTGGCACCTGGTGCGACATAAGCAAACATGGCCTGACATAAGTACCTGATTTAGAAATAGGCTATGCTTCACATTTAACAGCTAAGTTATTAGCTTGCCCCAATTACGTGTGCGCTCCAAAGCCAGCACATGTCAAAAACAAATGCCTTTATTGGGTTTTAACATGAGCAGGTGATCCGCGACTTTCCCACGCTTACTGTCCAACCTTAAAATAGCCCAAATTCTCTCTCACAATCATCCAATATCCAAAGAAGCCTAAGTAGCAATAACTCCATTACTTGTAATATTGCATGGCTGATCATTTCTTTAACGTTACCCCAAGCGACAATCCTTCCCCTACAGAAAACTTCTCCCCCACTGGCTCTGCTTGTGGTAATGTACTATCACCTCGTAGGCATCCGAATTTTCGAGGAATTCGGCAAAGGAACGGAAAATGGGTGTCTGAAATTCGCGAGCCTCGGAAAACTACGCGTATTTGGCTAGGTACCTTCTCCACTCCTGAGATGGCTGCTGCTGCGTATGACGTTGCAGCTCTGGCATTAAAAGGCCCTGATGCGCCCTTAAATTTCCCAGATTCCGCTTACTCGTACCCCGTCCCGGCTTCTCTTTCGGCCGTGGACATTCGTGCTGCTGCTGCTAGAGCACCTCCAATTTCAGAAAGCAGTACTGAGGTGCTGCCTGAAACTAGAAATTATGAAGGCACTATAGCAGCACAGGGACAAACTGAGTTTGTGGATGAAGAGGAAATTTTCGGAATGCCGAAATTGCTGGACGAAATGGCAGAGGCAATGCTTGTTAGCCCGCCAAGGATGCATCAGTCAACATCTTACGATGAATCACCTGAAAATTCTGATGCAGATAGTCTCTGGAGCTATCCTTAAACTATGGCCCCAATGTACAGTCCAGAACTAGAATAACGGAACCACTATTACTACAAGTTAAGTGGGTTTTGCATTTGGACTTTTTTTTTTCCCTCCCTTTGAGAAACAGTTTTTGGAAAGGACGTGCGTTTGGATGTGAACAAGTAAGTACTTGTATTTCTGTTTTCTTCCTTTCAGCAAAAAAGGAAGTTACTTTACTTTTATTGAAAACACTGAGCTTTGACTTCTCAAAAATCAAAATTATAATTTTAGAAGTCAAGGGAAATTGTTTTCATGTTTTGAGTAACTTCTTCAAAATGAATACACCCATATAAACTTGGTGTATGGACTCTCTCTATAGTCTATAGGTGAGAAGTCCCTTTTCTTGTAATGTAGGAGTAATTAATTTTGATGAAGTCTGTTGGGTAAACTTAAAACTGTACTAGTACGGATGAAGCAGTAGTCAGAAAACAATGTCTTCCATCAAGAGAGCTTGCTAGCTATTTCAAGTGTGGAGTAATACTGTAAGAGTCAGAATGCCTTTAATATATTAATATATCTAGTTTACCCGGAAAAAAAAAAACAAGAATGCCTATGTCTACAGCTGTGGGAATTTCTTTGTTGTTGACATAATGAATGATATGATAGCTATGTTATTCATTAATAATATGATATCGCACATTCCGTAGTATTAATAGTTGTCTTATTAAATACTAATGTCTAGTACTATCTTTGTTCCAATTTATATGATGGAATATAAAAAAATTAAAAATAAGACGTTTGACATATAAGAGATCAAATATATGCAAAGTATTAAAATCATCATTTTAAAATGAGTAACGCTATTTTATGTCTTTTTATTTTCGTTCTCCTTATAAAAGAATACTTTTATATAAAATGCATCCCAACAAGTTATGTCATTAGAGTAAAATAAAAATATTAATTCTAGATTTTGGTTAGTTAACTTTTTCTTATTTTTTGTCATATCTTATTTGTTTTTAGCAGTATTTTGTAACACGGATTTTAAAACTATATGGAAAATTCTAAAAAAGATCAGTTTTAGAAGAGATAACAAGATATATTTATTCATAAATCTCATATTTGATTTACTTCACTTTAAATTTACTCTTAAAATGGTTCTTTATGTAACGACTCGACCGGTCGTTTTGACCTCTAGCGCGTCGTTCGACGGTTTAAGGCTTTAAGTAACTTCACTTCATGTTCCATGACTTGTACGTGTGGTCGAAATTGAATTTCGAGAAGTTCAGAATTGATTTAGAAAGACAATTCTAATTTCGGAAGGTTTAAGTTGGAAGAAGTGATTAAAGTTTGATTTTTGAGTAAACGATCTCGGAATCGGGATTTGAAGGTTCCAATAGGTTCGTATGATGATTTCGGACTTGGGCGTATATTCGGGTTGAGTATCGAGTGGACCGAAAGTATTTCAGCACTTATTATGGAAGGTTGGCATTTTGGAAGTTTAAGAATTTCTTGAGTTTGACTTGAAATGAATTTTGGTGTAATCGATGTCCGTTTGGAGTTTCGAGCCTTGGAATAGGTTCGTATCATGATTTGTGACTTGCACGTAAAGTTTCGCGTCATTCCGGGATGATTAAGTGCAATTCGGACGTGTTCGGCGAAGTTTGAAGGTTGGAAAGTTGAAAGAAAGGTTTTGGCCATCGATTCACAATTTGGATGTTGTTTTACGTGATTTGAGGCTTCGACTAAGTCCGTATCATGCTTTGGGATGTGTCAGTATGTTTGAACGGGGTCACGGGTGCGAATCAGATTAGAAACGAATCGAGTTTGGACTTGGGAGAAGTGCTGAGGCAACTGGGATCTGGTACAATCGCACTTGCGTGGAAAAGGCCGCAGGTGCGTCATTGTGGTCGAAAAAGCGACATTTGGACTGAGTTGGGATGGCTGGAGATGCGAGGATATTTTCGCATTTGTGAGCCCGCAGATGCGAAGGATGCACCGCAGAAGCGGAAAACGAGCTGGACAGTTGGGGTCATATAAGCGAAAGGTCTTCGCAAGTGCGGGAGCGCAGGAGCAAAATTTGGTCCGCAGAAGCGAATTTGCTTGGCTTGGAGAGAACCGCACCTGCGATGGATTTTTCCGCATGTGCGGAGCCGCAGAAGCGCAAGAAGTTCTGCAGGTACGGAAAATCAATTGGGCAGGTTGTTTTAAAAATCATGGTTTTGCTCATTTCACTCATTTCTCTCTTGGTTTGGGCGATTCTTAGAGAGTTTCAAGGGGAGATTTTCATCATCTATGGCAAGGTAAATTATTCCCACCTATTGTAAGATAAATACATGGCTTCTGTAAGGATTTAAACATAAAAATTAGTAAAAATTGTGAAATTTTGGTAGAAAACTTAGAATTTGGTATTTTTGGATTTTGTCCACGAAATTAGAAATGGAATTAGGAATAAATTATGTATTTGAGTTCGTGGTGTTATGAGTAATGATTATCTTCAAATATTTTCGGAATCCGGGCACGTGGCCCGCGGGTTGACTTTATCGACTTTTCAAGCGGAGTTGGAAATTATTATATATTGATTAATTATGGGTAATAGAGTATATATTTATGGATTTGCACATTATTTGACTAGTTTTGGAGAGACGAGCATCGGTTTGAAGTGTTAGAGTGGCGTTGGAGTCGGCTATAGATTTCGGAGCGAGGTAAGTTTCTTGTCTAACTCTGTGAGGGGGAACTACCCCTAGGTGATGTATTTGATCTGTGCTACTTGTTGCGGGGGCTACCTACGCACGAGGTGACAAGAGTCCATACGTAGCTAGATTCGTATTATATCCGGGTAGACTTAGGTTCCCGCCATGCTATAATTGTACTATTTGAGTTGTTCCTTACCTATTAAATTCCTTTATTTTACGTTACGACTTGAGACCTAGACTTACGTAGAGTGATAATTTGACTTGCGTAGAGATTTGATGGGTTTCATGATTAGCCGTGGAATAATTGTACTCATCTTATGAATTTCTCACGTGCTATGTGTTTTCTCTTAAAATTTATATCTCACATATTTATTCGTGAGTGGGGTCAAGAACCCGTTAAAGCTTCTTACTCTAATGGGATCAGGCCATTCGCCTCGGCAGGATTATGTACCACACTCTCATGCGAGCGGGTCGTTTGCCTCGGCAGTATAATAGATGTATCTATGGTTCGTAGCGTTCGACCCTCCACAGTGCACACAATATGATGGGATTGGGCCATATGCCTCGACATTTCAATAAAATACTCTTACGAAATCGTGCGTAATATTTGACAAGAAACCAGTGTATCTGCGAGTTTTTCTGATTTGGATTGTGACGACCTATCTAATGAGGTCCATTATATANGATTGTACCACGTATTTATACCTGTTTATTTCGTTTACTTACTCTGCCTCACATCTGTTTACTTCTTACTGTACATGATTTATTGGACTATTAGTAAGTGTTGATGTCGACCCCTCGTCACTACTTCTCCGCGGTTAGGTTAGATACTTATTGGGTAGGCATTGATTTACGTACTCATGCTGCACTTGCTGCACTTATTGTACTGGTACATATATGTCTGGTGGTCTTTTGGCGTAAAGGCGCGGCTATTGGGGGGACTTTACCGTGAGCTGCATTCCATATTACGATCCGCAGCATGCAGAGTCTCCATCAGAGTTATTTATATTTCCATGTATAATTTGTATTCCAGACAGATGTTGTATTTTATTATATTTCCTAGTTGATGCTCATGCACTTGTGACACTGGGTTTTGGGGGTTCCTATTGGTCGTTCATCATTGTAGTTCACGTAAATATTATCGTTTTGCCCTGTATACTCTATTTCATACTATTTAATTAATAAAAATTATAATTTTAAAATAATAAGATGGGTAATTAAGTTGATCAATTACTGTTGGCTTGCCTGACGGCAATGTTAGGCGCCATCACGACCTTTAGTGGATTTTGGGTCGTGACACTGTACTTAAGACAATTTAATGTTTTGCTATTAATTTTTGTTTACTACATTACATTAGTTATTTTGATTGACATGCGATAAAGAACAAATAGATTAGATTTGTAAAATTGAGTAATATAGACCAAGGTATTATGGGTAACAAATTATTTGTTCCAAGTATTATAGACCAAGTAATATATAAGTTCCATCTCGAACTTCTTATTAATTTGAAGAAAAACAGCAACCTACCTGCCACACTCCCTCACACTTGATACCCAAGACTTCTTCCCTATATACACTAATACTCATAGTTTAGGGGGTTTTATGCCTTCTTCCTTGATCTCTTATCCAAAAGATATTGAAGTGTTTGGTCCTCAATGATCAAGGCTACTGACTACTTTATTCTAGTATAGTACATTTCTAATTCTAATTAATGAACATCAATTGGGAATTGGAAACAGAATATGCACGGAAGGTCTATTTATTAAAAGGGTAACTCTAATTCTTGATCAGGTTTACCGTTCATGTAAAAGCCTTTTGGTCCCCTTTAGCTTTTGCTTAGAAGATAATTTAAGCTTATTTAAACTTATCCACATTGTCCCCCCTTTGTACGCAGCGTTCTTTCTTAAATATTGCTAGTACTAACAGTACCAATTGAGGGAATTTATAAAAGATAAAGGGCTATTCCTTCCAAAATTGTACATAATGGCTATCATATACTGAAAAGGACTTGGTATCAGAAACGTACGTTTAGTATATTCTAAGAGCTTTTGGAAAGAAAACTTTGAATGTAGAATCGCTATCCCCAAGTGAAATATTTGTTACATTGCCACGATACAAATCTTAAAAACTTAAGAAAGGCTTGGAAAAGATTAAACTTAAATCAACATTTCACTAATTAACTAGGAGTATTCATAAATTTAAAGTTTCTTTTTATAAAGAATTTTGAATTATTGTTATGTTATTGTTTCAAGACATTTTTAAAAAAAAATCTATTGTTTCAAGATATATATATATATA